GCTGTGTAAGGCTGATGATGTCATCAGCCACAGTGATTTTTGAGCAATTAAATATTTCCAATTGCCCTCAGGGTCCCAAGGCTCCTTTCCATCACCAGGAATTTGTTGGTGCCGTGGTACGGAAAGACAACTCTAATTTCTGAAACGAGCCCTTTGATAGCAAAATTGCCCCAGCAGGGGCAATCTTTAGAAATTAAAGACTCACTGCATCAAGTGTTCCTCCTGCTGGTTCTCCACAAGGAAGAGGATACCAAGATCTGGGCCTCCCTCGGCGTTAGGCTCCTCAGCCTTACCTCCTGGCTCGTGTGGGTGATCCGAGTAGATCTAGGATTTACAGTACCTGCATATCAGCTACATTCCCACACTTAGATTGTTCCAGAAAGAAAAGATTCTGTTTCCCATTGTTAGGGGGAAGTCGTTGTGCTTACTTTTGAATCCATCTGATGTGCATGGCAACACTGGGAGACCCATACCCTTCTAGCTTTAAAATCATTTTATTTGTCCATATAGGAATATAGTACAGTGGGCCCTCGACTTACGAACACTATTTGTCCATATAGGAATATAGTACAGTGCGCCCTCGATTTACGTACAGCCCTAGTTGCGAACATTTCGGGTTACGAACCCAATCTCATCGCAAGTAGTACACCCTACGTGCGAACGCGGATCGAGTTCCGAACCCAAAAGGCGGGGAGAAAGGGTGGGAAATTCGAATTTCCTGCCCTTCCTCCCTGCCTTTGGAGCTTTCAAAAGGCTTCCTCCAACATCGTTTGGAAAAGCAAACCGGGCGGCCGGGGAGAAATCAGTTCCCTTCTTTCACCCGATGCTGAGTCCCCTTGTAGAGCTAGGAGGTGATGTGACACAGATCTCTCAAGGTTGCTGTTATTTCTCCACACTAATTGCACAAAATCTTTTGCCTTGAAAAGCTTAAAAACAGATCTTGATTTAGGATTATGTGGGTTTTTACATGCTCATGTGAGCTGTAGTGTTAGGAATCCTTCTACCAAGGCAGAGAAGCATGGCAAAGCAGCAGGATGTGGGAAGGGGAACTGAGTGGAGAATCATTGTTGTGATGTTGTCATTTCTGAGTAACCTCAAGCAGCTGTTCTGGTTTTCCAGAATTCCAGTGTATTTGTTTAATTATCCACTTGGTCTCAAGAGAGAGCAGTAGAAAGATTTTTGAGGAGCAGTGCCATATGAGGTGATAAACAAGCAATTCTCTCAAAGCTGAATACAGTGGGGTCTTGACTTAAGAACGGCTCGAGTTAAGAACATTTTGACTTAAGAACTGCTCTCATAGGAAAATATTGACTTGACTTAAGTACTTAGATTTGAGTTAAGAACTGAAAAAAACCCATGTGGGAGGCAGGGAAAGTGCAAAATGTGAACTTTCAGTTAACTGTTGGCCAGTGAAAAGGGTGCCTGTCTGCTTCCTCACTCCTCCCAGCGTTTAGAGAGTGGATTGGGAGACAGTCTTCAGACTGCCTGGTACTGGACTGCCTGGACTGTATTTTCCCTGCCTTCCCTGAACCTTTCTTGACCTAAGAAAAAAAGAAACAAAATATCCCCCTCTAGTGGTCGAAGGCAGAATAGCAGCTTCCCATTAGTTTCTATGGACGGAAAAGAGCAGATACGGATCAAATGGTTTTCAATGCATTCCTATGGGAAATGCAGATTTGACTTGAGAACTTTTTGACTTGAGAACCGCCTTCCAATACGGATTAAGTTCTCAAGTCAAGACCCCACTGTATGTAAAACAAGCAAGTTTACAAAAGTCTCTTTTAAAAAAATAGATGAACAAACCAGCCTTACATTTTTTTTGGAAAAACAAAAGCAAGCAAACAAGGAAGCAAACCGTCCTACCTGTATCAGGCAGACAGTGCAGAATTTCAGATCACCACCGGAAAGGCCTGGTTCCTTCCAAAAACTGATTGAACTTTACTGCTATGTGATATCAAGTTGCTTCATGAACTAGCGACAAGCAACCAGGTTTGAACTTTTGAACGAATCCAAAGTTGCTTTCTGAACTAGTGATGGGAAGATTCCACAGGATTTGATTCACAATTGGTGTAGCAATTATACCCATAACTGGAAATGATGGTTGTTGTGGGTTATTCGGGCTCTTTGGCCGTGTTCTGAAGGTTGTTCTTCCTAACGTTTTGCCAGTCTCTGTGGCCGGCCTCTTCAGAGGACTGGAGTAGGAACTCTGTCTGTGCTCTGGAAATGTTAGAGAACTCTTCTTCATTTTGCAATCGCCTCTAATCATTACTTGGAGAAGAAATGTCTGTTCTGAATGAGACAGTGGGTAAACATTTTTAGGGATCATGAGGAGAAACTTCACAGACAATTTTAATTCAGGAAGAATTTATGAGATTCCATGCCATGAGACAAAAATGTGTACTATCACAAGTCCTGGTCTCCTTTGCCTGATATACATTGGGATTGGACTGCCAAATGAAAAAAAAACATGCTAACTTACTGCCAAAATTCATGAGTGATATACTTGAAATAGAAATTCCCTTTCTGCTTTCTTCATGGCATCTCTAGAGTTAATTTACAGCATGATCCTCACGTGTTCATAGCACCCTTTCCCAGGGATTTCTAGGTCTGATGTATCAGTCCCTCTTTTGGATGGCACTCTAAGGACCCTTCAACATGCCCACGGCCACCAGGTTACAGTCAGACATGTAACCCCATCAGCCCCATGCTCTCCGGCAGGTGGACTCAGCTGGCACCTGTCATTAGGAAGCATAGTGGGGATGTGAACCCCTGGCAGCTGGACTCACTGAGCTGGACCAGCGCTT